AATTTTCCCGCCATGCCAGCAACGTCCGGTGGCGATTCTCTGAAGTTGTTACCACCTATGCTGCCGAATTAAGTCCATTTAAATGTACAAATATCCACCGACGCAGGTTGTTTGCCTGGAATTCAATTTTTGAAGGCTCTAAATAGAGGGAAACCAGCGTTACCAACTTTGGGAAAACTTGCTGAAAATATTTAACAACTCACGTTAAATAATCAAATTGGTCTTCACAGCGACACGGTCCAGCAAAAATCACTGGCGGATCCAGAAAATTGGCAACGTCTTTTTTCCTCCATTCAAACCCATGGAAATGTATCGATTCTTGGAGGGGCCTGGCGCTCCGACAAGAATCGATTATTAAACAGACGTTTAGATGGAGGAAATCCAGTGTTGCCAAATCGCTCGATCCGCTTCTGGCAAAAATTAAGATTTACGATTAGTGAAGGAGACGGCTATGATGCAGGAGCTCTTGAATGTGGCAGATGGCTCTCGTTCCTGATACTTGAGGCACATCTGAGGGTACGGCATCTTCTTGGCCGTGCTAATATTGAATGAACTCATAATGTTACTCCAAAGCGACAAATTGCTTCGTTTCCATAGCGACCAAGAAGCTGAGAATTCGGAAATGAAAGGAAAAAATCACGCCTAACCTCTGTATGAGGACTTACAGCTTTAGGAAAATGGAGGTAGTCCGAATGAAAATCGCCCGTATCCTGCCCCGAATTCTCTTCGGGAACCCACCATTCCTCTGAAACCCCGGACAACTTCCCCCCAAGATGCGCTCAAAATTTAAATCTTCCAAAAAACCATCCCAGCGGACGGTCCTCCCTCCGCCAGCGTTTTCCCCCTCCGACGGTTGAACCTCCTCGCGCGCCCCCATGAACCATGGACAAAATTCTCAGTCTGGCCGAGAGCACCGCCGACCGTCTCCCACGACACGTGGAGCTGGTCCTGAGCATTCTGCGGAAAAGCGTCGGGGACGACCCCAGGGTCCTCGTCGAGAAGTCTTTCATCTTCCTCTGCGCGGTCAACTTCTTCGAGTGCGGGTTCGCGCTGGACGACGATATGACGGGTGCCCGGGCTCATAACCTCGTGCCCCGGGCCCATAACCTCGTGCCCACGTTCGACCTCCGCTCGGTCCACGCGTCTTGTGTCAAGGCGGCCGGCTCCTTGAAGTGCGAGGCTCCGGATCTTCCGTTGACTCTGCGCGCCGCCGTCGACCGCGCCTTCCGCCTCGTCGTTGTCCCGGCGGCCGGTGCCTGCATCCTCAACTTCCTCTTGTTGCCCACCCCGGAGGAGACTCGCCCGACCATCATCTTCTCCGTCGCCGTTCACCCTCTCGCTTTTTTGGCGCCCTCCTTCGACTGCCACGACCCTTGCTCCAGCTCTCGGCAACGACCGTCGAGAGAGAGTTTCCGGAACCTTCGGGAGCTGTCCCTCTGCATCAAGGACAGCATCGTCAACCCGGCGATGAACATAGCGCTTGCTGCGGAACCGGTGGTCAACACTCGATCCATCACTGGCCTGCCGTATGAGGTTTATTTTTTCTTCTCTTGCAGGCATCGCCTGGATACCGGGGAGATGTGACGGTAGCAGAGGCGGATCCAGCAATTTGGCAACACCGGATTTCCTCCATTTAAACCTATGCTAAATAATCGATTCTTGTCGGAGCACCTGGCCCCTCCGAGGATCGATACATTTCTATAGGTTTAAATGGAGAAAAGACAATGTTGCCATTTTGCTGGATCCACCAATGGACGGTAGTAAAATGCCAGTGAAAGGGGGGAGGAGGGCGTCTCTTCTATGAGTCAAAAAACGTCTATGCTCTTATCGAAAAGAAAAAACTTTGCATGGGGTTTGAGTCTACTTCGAGATTTTGATTTGCGTTCCAAATGAATTCAGAGTATATTTCTACGTTTACATATTTACATTCCACCCTTCCTCCTCTCAACTTCCACTTCTCGTGGCTGGAAGAGATGCGCTCCTCTTTCTCTTCAGATTTCACATGTTCAGCACAATTTGATCTTGAGGATGGGGAAATTTTAAGAAAAATATTCAGAACATTGGTGAAAGGGAATACTTCAATGAAGAAATTTTAGCAACATTCAAATGTTTATGTGACATTTCCTCTGACAATAAGCAGAACAATAAAATAATCTGATGTCGCGGCTGATGATGGGAGCTAAGGTCCCGAAACGCTTCCCGTTATTTTAAAAATAATTTTTTACGCAAGTGAGTGTATTTTTACCAAAAATTGTCTTTGTGTTTTTAAGGAACTTTAACTTGTGTAGGCCCCTAACGGTATTCAAAGTGAAAATAATCTGCCCTGAATTTAACGTAAATTGCTGCCCACCAAAATTTTCCCGCAAACAATTGTATAGCCAGAAACTTTATACGAAGGGCGGTCCAAACATAAACAGAAGGAATTATTCCTAAAATTACGAAAAATGAAGTTTTGAGGGGAGAGGGGTAGGATTTTTTAGTCAGGGAGGAGGGGTGAGGGTGCCCAGATCCCCTGGCTACGCCACTGTATGTGGCCTAAGCTGCCGTGCTAAGGAAGAACGCCGTATGAACCTTCAGACGTTGCTATATTTCCCTCAATGAAACTTACTTTTTCTGGAAAAATTTTGCATATTTTTTTCAAGATTTTCAGACAATTTTGTATACAATTTTATCCAAAATATCTGAAAAAATCAAGCAAAAAAACGCATAACTTTCATTAAAAAGACATGTTTTACAGTGGACTCTCTATAATTCGAACCTCGATAATTCGAAAACCTCGTTAATTCGAAGGAAAGTCTGTTTCCCTTGAAAATCTCTCGATAGTTCGAAGAAAATCAATGTATTTTTCTCCCCTCGTTAATTCGAAATTTTTAAAGTGGCGTGGCCCTCTATAATTCGAAATTGCGACGAAAATTCTCTCTGTAATTCAAAATTTGGGAGGTAAGTACGGCTCTCCCTCTATAATTCGAAATAAGACGGTACATTCCCTCTACAATTCGAAGTCAACTGTTTATGTACCTGGGTGTCTGAAAGAGCTTGACCTTTGACCTAAAGACCTTTTGGCGTAAATCCGTCCATTTGCCCCTCTATAATTCGAATTCAGATGGCGCCTTCCCTCTATAATTCGAACCTCTCTAATTCGAATTCAGATGGCGCCTTCCCTCTATAATTCGAACCTCTCTAATTCGAAATTTTTCTACATGGAATCTCTTTAATTCGAACTCTCTTTATTTCGAAACCTCGCTAATTCGAAGAAAAAACCGATTCCCTTCAATTTCGAATTATCGAGAGTCCACTGTATCAGGGAAAATTTGGCAACTCTCGAATGTTCATACGGCGTTCTTCCTCAGCACGGCAGTAAGGTCCCTGATCGGTTACGAATATCTAAATGAGTATTTGCAACAGGTTCTGCTGCACTTGGCTTCACTTTTGGACGTTTGCTCGATCCTGAGGTTGACGAGCACTTGCAAGGAGCTGCTGGGTTTCGGGCGCGATACATTCCTGTGGAAGATGCTCCTGCGAAGGGATCTGGGGGTGGACATGGACTGCAGCATGGCCTACGAGGATCTAGTTGAAGAGTACAAAATGCGCACGCGGCCACCCAAGATCACCTGCTGCTGCAGCTCGCCCTACTTCAGGAGCATCGAGGACTTCCAACCTCGCAGGTACGAACACATATCTGCGGATTGATTATTGTAATGTATAGACAGAGCGTTAGACTAGGAAGGCAAAAAGCAAATGGAGCAATACTATTGTTTGAAGCGGGTGGTGCACTGGAAAAAAAAAAAAAAAAAACACATTGGATCTGGAGTTCAGACTCTTAAAAACGTCGACAAGAAAAATTACTCTTGATTCAATCAGAATCCAGCTTAAATCAAGAACCAAGCCTCTTAATTTAAGCAGATTTCGTTTTGATTCAAGCAAAAATCCGATTGAATCAAGAGTATTTTTTCTTGTCAATGTTTTCAAGAGTCTGGACTATTGATTCAATGTGTTCTTTTTTCCAGTATGCTTAAAAACTGAAGATGAAAATGGTGGATTAACTATATTAGGTATGATCTCTCAAGAGTTTCCGCTAGTCAATATATAACTCACCTATTTTGTCCATTGCAACCACCCACCTCTACCAAGAGGATTGTTCCATTTTCTCTTTGTCATCTGTGTCTATTTTGTCTATCAATTTTAACAATTAGCCCGCAGAGGAATTTTAGTGATCACTTTGCCATAAAATTTTAGAAACTTACTCTTGAATGAAAGATTTCTGGTCATGATGGATACTGTTCGATATTATTTTGCGTCTTCTCTGCGATATTTTTTTAAAAGGTAATGTTTCTGGATTTGCGGCACTTTTGCTTCCTCACCGAGATCTAATTTTTGCCGAGAAAAAGGGATGTTAGAAAATATGATGGATGTTGTAATCTACATAAACAATCTCGCAAGTTGTCATCAACGTCTCTCGTATAGGATTCCAATCGCTTTAAAGCGTATAAACCTTACAAAAAATAAACATCAATCAATCAATGATCTTCGAAGATCTTTGAATACCTAACAAGTCCCCTCCCTCTATACATGCCATAAATTATGACGTCACCGTATAGATTCAATACTATTAAGTCGATTTATATTCAATCTATTACTCGTAACAATATAAAACATACCATTTTTCAGTACCGCTGATAAGGATAAATTAATACAATATCGTTTTTCAAATCGTAGAACAGAACTAATTGCATCCGTGTGAGGGCTTTAACTTTTCGACATAAACCTCAAAAATTCAATGAATTTCATTTTCCCATTCTTGCAGGTACTTTACGAACCGGTCTAGCGACTCAGAGTCCTTCAATTCCATCGGCCCTTACGTCATCGCTCTTCGCCAGGCTTCACCAAATTTGAGCGTTTCCACCGATTACTCCAACATTATGTCAAGACAGTAGCATCAAATAAAATGAAATAATAAATGAAAAAAATTAAATACGATTAAAAACAAAAAAAATTTAAAATAGTTTAAAAATTTTGAAAGAAATGATTTCACCGCGTAGGGATACACGCTCGACTATAGATATATTTAACAGAGCAATGAGGACCTATGTATGTACATCGGACCTTCTTAAAAAGAGCCTTCCTTTCCCATGCCTTGTAGCAATTTATTATTTTTAGATGAATTTCTCTTGCTTTATAATGTTCACGTATTATAAGCAGGAAAAGACCATACATGATGAGATATTAAGTATCATATAGCATTAGCCCTCCTCAAAATGTCTCGTGCATTGCGGTGGACGAATCGAAAGTTTCTAATTTTAACTCACAAGTGAGTAGACTAAAATCCAATTGACCAATGACCATGGACCAATTTGACGAAAACATTTGCGTCACGCTGGCTTTGGTTTTTTTCGGAAAAGTGCCCTACTCTAATTTAAATGATACACCTTAATTTCGCACTCAAAATTTAATTTTTTTTGTTCCTATTTTTGACACATGTTCAAATTCATGCGGACATTTTTGACGACATCTATCATCCTCTGCACAGTGCCTTGAATCTGACCTTTTTTAATGGTCCATTGTATTAAGCAAACAAGAAATATTTGAACATGGGTTAAAAACTTCCGAGTAGCTATGGAAATTAATGAAGCTTTTAGTGGTTACTGCAAGTGCAGAGCTCCCCGTCTCTTGTTGTCAGCTCCCTACGCCCGTCACGCCCTTCTAATTTCGTTCCCACTCAACACATGTTACCAATCTTCAGCTTTAGTACTTAAGTCTTTTTTCAAAAATTTCGATGTAGATTCGTTCCGTTTGCTTACTTTTTAAAAGCGTAAACACTGAAAAAAAGGGGAGGGGGAGTCTGATCATTGAGCTTGACGTATGCGATGGACGGAATAGTACAAACTATTCCGTTCTGTTCTGGTTTCTGAAAGTTTCATCGGAAAAGCTATATTTTCGCTTATACGAGTCAAAAATAAAGAACCAAAATATTGATGTAATAAACCGAATAGTTAGAGCTACTTTGACTGAAAGCGGAAGTTTGGAACTTCGTCGGTACCAAACAGTGTGGTAGGCCATGCAAATCGAGGTTCAGTTTATGTGACTGAAGTTGTTTTTTTTTTTTTTCTTCGTGGGGATTGAACTGGTGGTAGGCGAAAGCTGCCCTACAAAGGATAACCTTATAGGTAAAAGGATACATACAACCCCCAGAAGACTGTGTACCACTCAGAAACAAAGAATCTTACTAAAAAATATTTTCCAAATGGATATATTTATGCTAAAAGGAATTATATGCATAGGATTTGCTTGCATAGTTCCTTATAGCATAAATACGTCCAAATGAGAGTGAGCCTTTAAGATTCGGAGTTGTGTTTATTTGGACACGATCATAGTGGGAGGGGTTGCATATCCTCTCATTTTGAAGGCGGAATGGCGGATTTTTGTTTTGACGCGACTACTCCGCGCGACGCGGTGTCACATGTCACATGTCACATGATTCGGTTATCAGAACGAAACGCCAATCCAAAAGAGATATTTTAGTGCTTAAATTTTTTATTTTTCTCATTATTTTGTTTATTTAAAAAAAAAAAAAAAAAAAAAAAAAAAAAAAAAAAAAAAAAAAAAAAAAAAATTATCAGGAGACTAATCTGAGCCCCTCAACCATTCCCCGGTTTGGCCCCGTGCCGGCGATTGAAAGAACTAACAAAAGAAGTACAACGAGACATCAGTTTGAACGTAGGAAGCTAAATCGTGAGGAAAGGGATCGTCCATAGATGACATCAGATACCTACGTTGACAGGAGGGGTTTGGAAGGGCCTATGTATCTAACGACGGGGGAGGGGTTTGGTAAAATCCGACACCAGGCTAAAACCGGCGCACGGGTCTTCATTTTAAGAATATTCTGATCGAAAATTTTGCGGTGCGCTAATTTTAAGTGGGTAATACGGAGGTGGGAAGGGGGAGGGGTCGGCTGTACTTTGACGTAAATCACAAGAGAAGGTTCAACTCTGCTCGATGTATACCCAATGCAACGTGGAGGAAGGAAGGGGGGTTAAATTGAAAAAAAGCTTGACGTCATTCATGGGCAACCCTTAATTTCTGTGGGGGTGAAAGAAAATTGTACCAAACAAAAGGTCGTGGTTGACCTTTCATTGCACAGTCGTTGTGTTGCAGATTTCATTGATTTTCTAATCATACCTATAAAAAAATTCAAAATGCATACTGATGAGTGAGGTTGTGAGCTTTTTGGTTCATTATTTGTTCTCGGGATATATATTGTTTGCTTAGAAAAGCTGCAGGTATGTTCCGTCTGTGAAGCTCTTCATCCATTTTACGTTTGCATGGCAACGAGGGTGCGGACCCAGCCGGAGCCAGCGGCGCCGCACGGTAGAACAAACCGATGGTGGAAGTCGGATAAGTTGTGGGAACTTTAAAAGCTTAGAACCTCATTAATAAAAATCCCAGGGGTTCAAAAGTTGTTCCTCTGGTTTTCTTCTTAAAGGTCATTTAAAATCATCCCTTAAAATTCACAATGGGACGAAATAAACATTAAATTTCGCAGTTTTAGTCAAGAATGCCATGTTGGATCCCTGGGTCCACTGTGCGCCGACCCGAAGTTGCGAGCGTGTTCAATCTCCGGTCGGCTCCGGCTCCGCGATCACGCGATCAATCCCGGAGGGTTGCATAACCGGGCCCACGCAGGGGCAGCCGCCCAGAAGCTGGGATCCCGAGTCGGGCTGCGTGGCGGAGGAGTCTCTAAAAAACCCTAGCCGAACCAGGTGGGGCCCGGGGGTGGGGGCCGAGGGGGGAGGGGAGGGGCAGGATCGATAAAAAAGGGACGTCATAGCAACGTCGTGGTCTCAATCGTTGGCTGCTCCGGCCGCGCCGAGTCGAACTCTCCCGTCGCACAATGTGGTGCTCGGTCCCCACGGCTGGCCAAAACCACGACAACCGGACACTGGAAAAAAAACACATTGGATCTAGAGTCCAGACCCTTGAAAACATTGACAAGAAAAAATACTATTGATTCAATCAGATTCAAGCTTAAATCAAGAACCAAGCCTCTTAATTTGAGCGGATATCCTTTTGATTTAAGCTTAAATCTGATTTAATCAAGAGTCCTTTTTCTTGTCAATGTTTTCAAGAGTCTGGACTCTAGATCCAATGTGTTTTTTTTTCCGGTGGACGACTGAGGTAAAATAAGTGGAAAATCCCGAGAGATCCCATTGGATAACGGAAAAACGCCGTATGAGCATTCGAATGTTGTCGGATTTCCTCTCGAAAAATGTTTATTTTTGTATAAAATTATGATTATTTTACTTTGACTTTTTCAGACACTTTAGATCGGATAACGAGAAAACTTCTCCGAAAAATGGAGGACAGATTTTTAAAAAAGTTCCCAAAAATCCGTAATTTGCCTCAGGAAATTTGACAACGTCGATAGGTTTATACGGCGCTCTTCCCTAGCAAAACAGAACTGCTCTGCGCGACAGAGCCGTTGCAAGAAGCATGGATGGGGAGGGTAAAATTGATGTTTTGCCCAACTGCTTTTTTATTCGGTTGCTGTTAGTCTATTACCTACCTCCTTTGTCCATTGAAACCATCCGCATCCACCAATAGGATCCATCCATATCCCTTCTGTCTTCTTTATCTATAGCTCTGACTATCAATTTCAATAATCAGCCCGCTGGAAACATATGACACTGCATTAAAACGTGTGAAAAATTTGAAAAACGACGACACTGGATTCATATACTTTGTCTATTGGCATATTCCGTTGCAGATTCACCCTAAGAGTTCGTGTTTAAAATTTCCGTTTTTGTTCGGTATCGAGGTGAGAAAACTTCAATGTGCGCCACGCCCCTCCCTTGACCGCGGGCTTCGCTCCCTTCGCGTCGCGACGTCGATGGGCCGGGGGTGTTCGGGGGGGTTGGGTTGGGGGTGGTCGGTGAGATTACGGCAGATCCACGTCGAGTCGCCTTATCCCCGGTGACTCGCCCATGCCCTCCAGGCTTGCCACCTCCTTACGCCGAACATTCTTGCCGTCCATAGTAAAAGCGCCGTGACTCCATCCTAGATTTTTCATTTTGTTTTCTGACGATATCCTCTATTACGAGGAGAATAGCGATTATTTGGACATATTTTTGAGAAACATATCTAAGCGCCAATATCAGTTCCTTTTGCGGATTTTAAAATCCGGGATAGTGCGTTCTGTCAAACGGAACTAAGCGCCATGCTGCCATGTTAAGGAAAAACGCCGTATGAACATTTTGCCAAATTTCATCTGATGAAATTTTCATTCTTAAGGAAAGTTATGAATGTTTTTACTTACGATTTTCAAGACCTTAAGGTAAAGTTTCCGCTCCGGAAATAGAGGGAGGAAAAGGATGCGCGTTTACGACGGCGCAGAGATACAACTATTTGTACTTGATGGATGTCCGTGCTGCCTCTGAAAAATTGAAGGCGCGATGACGCGAAGCGTGAGCTCTCAACGTTCTGCTATATGCTGTCAATTAGGTGTCGCTCAGATTCGGGAGAAAAGTTTAAAAAGAGGCCCGAACAAATCTCTCCTACCTTCGGCTGTGTTACTCACGTAGTGCTTGAAGCGCCATTGCGGATAAAACAAACGGAAACAAACAAAATATAGAAATAGAGGGAAGAAAAGGATGTGCGTTTGCGACGGCGCAGAGATACAACTATTCGTACTTGACGGACGTCCGTGCTGCATCTAAAAAATTGAAGGCGGGATGACGAGAAGCGAGAGCTCTCAATGCTCTGCTGCACGCTGTCACGGAAGTGTCGTTCAGATTCGGATGGAAAGTTAGAAAAGAGACCCGAACACGTATTTCCTGTCTTCTGCAGTGTTGATACTCGTTCTCTCCTCTTCTTTTAGGTTCTTATCTGATTCTTTTTAGGATGGATTTGCAGACCCACGTTTTAATCTCGTGTAACCGCAGCACTGGCTTGGTTCTTTTGGAAATAATGGTGCTTGGATGCGTTTAGGGGCTTTCATTTTT